CCCCCCCCCCCCCAAAATTGGATTCAAATAAAAATACTAGAAAATCAAATTCCTAGCAAATCAAAATATGAAAAATCGATTTTAGTGCTAAATACGATTTAGGCTAAAAATGATGGCTAATTAAGTCAATATATACTTCATACTAAAATCCCATAAAATCAAGTTTTCTTATTTGATGTGTAAGGAATAAAAGCCGCCAAAAATTATCTTGAGAAAATGATCATTCTGAAAAACCATTTTTCATACTTAGCCAATATTTTTACATAAAATAATTTTTCATGTATGATATAAATGCATGAAGGGACTTAAGGTCAATCTAGGTAAAAAGCCTTAGATGTTCAATCCACAAAGAGTTTTACAAGAATAACCTAACTCTTACGTATTGAAGATATATTTGCTTAAATAAGCTCCCCCTATAAGACAGTACTCATAAGGGTCCAAGGTTTGAGAGTTAGAACCCAAAAGAAATGCTGATAAAGCCCAAAATCAAAACTACAACAAGAGCATGAACAAAGTGAGAAACAAGTGAGGCATTATTTCCTATGACAACAAGGTCGTCAACATACACAAGAAAGTAAATAACAACGCATTCACGTCGGTAAATAAAAAGGGAAGCATAAGAGAGAGCATTGAGGATTCCCAAAATCGCTTCATATTTCAATGATTTTAGGGTATATGATTGCTACATCGCTTCATATTTCAATGATTTTTTCCATTCTCATCGCAGGCACCAGAACTTTGCTAAGATTCCCAAAATCCTTTGCCATGACCTGATCAGAGCTTGTTTGGCAAAGTCCTCTTCCCTTCTTCACAAGAAAACATAGTGGAAGAAAAGCCTTATTTCTCTTCCAAACCTTACGTACAAAGATACAAATGATTGGCAACGCAAAAGCTCATGACCACTCATTTAAAAAGAAAAGGTAACATGAACACTTGCAATAATACAACACATACTAGTTAAGATGAATTTATTGGAAGACTAGCTAATTCATGCATATTGGATCAAGGTAGAAGCTTGTTCACAATAGAGCGGGTTTTACACAGAGCCTCCAAAGGTACAGCTTTTGGCATGGTGAGTCCTTTACCTTCAGTCATGTCAATCTCCTCCTCACCAACTCTCTTCCACTCAAAGCATTGGATCAATGTCCCCAAGGTCAAGCCCATCACACGTTGGGCCAGGCCTGCTCCAGGGCAAGCCCTCCTTCCCAATCCAAATGGCATGAGTTTGTGTGACAGATCCTCACCACTTTTGAACCTCTCAGGCTTGAACATTTCAGGATCATCCCACAACTGTGGATCTCTATGTATGGCCCATGCATTCACCAATAACATTGTGCCACGTGGAACGTCGAATCCCTCAATAGTGCAGTCGTCATATGCAAAATGTGGTACTAGCATCGGGGCGGCTGGGCACAACCGCAGCGTCTCTGATATAATGCTTTGAAGGTAGGGTAGTTTAGAGATATTTTGTTCATCAACTAAGTGTTCTTGGTCAAGTTGAGCATCCAATTCAGCTCTAGCCTCTCTTAGCACATGTGGATTGTTAAGTAGATGAGACAAGGCCCATTCCAGTGTGACTGATGATGTATCAGTGCCAGCCAATAACAGCACCTGAAAATAACTTTTTTATTATTAGTAAGTTCAGAAGAAAAAAGCATGAAATACGTACTTTTATTTATCTTCCTAAAAAATGCTCTTCCAGCATTTTTCTTTTAACATGTTTGTCGGCTGTGTCAACCCTTTTTTTGTTGTTGCTTCCTTATCTAATTTGAATGTTTATTTTGTAATTCTTGTGAAAATTACAAGAGAAAGTTAGCCAATGAAATGCAAAACAACTTTTTCTTATCACTGTTGTTGTTCTTAAATATATAATTAAGTGCCTAGGTGCAAGAAAACTAGCCCAATGAAGTCCAACATGATCCAGTCTAAAAAGCTAGATAAGTCAATAAAAGTCACCATCCAGCAACTTGATCCAGTTGTGACTCTCAGACCTTTTTTTTTTTTTTTTTCCGGTCTGACTCACTCTCAGACTCTGTATGTACTTAAACGGATATACATGAACACTATAAATACATATAGTGGATAGGCATATTCTCACGTGGCATATCTTAATTGGGTGCTGTTATTTCTACTACATTTACATTGGATGCTGCTATTTGTATACCTACCAGACCGCCTTACTAATATAAGTGAATCTCACACACACTTGCAGGTCTCATCTCTATTAGAGATATAATCAGCCGAATGGTTAATAAATGTGATACAAATAACGTTATTGATATTAATTTAGTATCGATTAATCAATTCAATCAATCCAACCACCAACTCCCTATCTACTCTATATTAATTATAAATAAATAAAAACTTTATTAATTATAATGTAATGCATGAGATAGAATTCTCAACTAACAAGTATAAAGCCCTTGATGAGTTGGTCAGTATAATAGTCAGGCTGTGAGTCCTGCAGAGAAAGCAAATGGTCGATCATAGTTCCATTTTTACCCTTACTCCTTTGCTCATCAATCAGACCTTGCAAAAACGAATCCGTCCTCTTAGCCAACTTCATCACCCTCTTCTCATAAGCATTGCTCCCAATCCAATTCAAAATGGGCAAGAAATCTGCTGGGTTCACTGCCCCACTATGAGCAAAAACCTCCTTCATAATCTGCCTGAACTGCTTGGCCTCTTCCTTGTCCACCGACACGTCATCCCCATAGTACCTCTTACCCGCCACCATTGTCATTATGATGTTAAAGGTCAGCTCAGAGAACATAGACTTCAACTCCACCTTCGCAAACTCATGCACCGAGTTTTGTGCAAGTTTGCATATGAGGTGTTTGACTTCGTCTTTTCGTGTGTTTGCAAATGTGTTGAGTCGAAAGGAGGAGAAGATCTCGATGGCGCCGATGCGGCGGAGGTTGCGCCAGTGGTCGCCGTATGGAGAGGTTGAGATGGTCGTGCTGTTGTAGCCTATGTGCTTGAATAGGAGCAGTGAAGGACGGTTTGCCAAAACGATGTCGTTTCTTGTGAAACACTCTTGGACAGCGGACGGGGATGAGACTATGACCACGCGCTGCGAACCGAACCAGAGAGAGAAAATAGGGCCGTGTTTTTGGGAGAGGCGGTGGAAGGTTCGGTGGACCGGGGCTTTTAGGAGATGGAGATGGCCTAGGATGGGGAGAGAAAAAGGGTTTGGTGGGAGGTTTGTGTAACGTCGTCGTTTTGTTTTAAGAAAGAACTGGAAAATTAAGATTATGATGAAGATAAGAGAGAGGGACGTTGTGGAGAAGAAGATGCCTTGTTCCATGGTTTGTTTTGGCCTAAGTTTGATTTTGAGCTGGAGAAAGATATTTTATTGAATGGGTAATGCTATGCTTAATTATGCTTAAATTATTAGATCTCTAACTTAATTATGCTTCAATTATTAGACCTCTAATTATGAATGAGATACAAAAATCCAGTACATGAATTAGATACAATCTATTATCAGCACGCATCAACCCTAAGGTGAATATCTTCAAAATAACATCCTTAACATGGAGAGTCATCACTGCAAGGAGCTCATGTGGCTTCTTTTTTTTCTTTTTTTTTTGGTAGCAAGTACCTACAAGGTGCATGAAAAAGCTATTATCATCTGACCATCAAATCCTTAATTAAAACACACCAAAAAATAACTCAATCAGATATAGATGCAATTTGCAAACACATTAAAGAAACCCATCAGAAAATTAAACAAAATCATACCCATCCTAAAATTTAAAAAAGTAAAACTCATTCGTCCACACCTTCTAAACTCCAGACCTGATTTTCTTTAGATTGATTGCTTTGTGAGCTTGTAAGAAGAAGGACTTTGATTAAGAAGGGAGAGGGTGAAGAATATGATGTACAAATATAGGTGTACTGAGCGGCAGGGGAAGGGTTGCAGAGGTTCGACAAAATGCCGACAATTAGAAACAAATCCTAATTTGAAGAAGAGCATGTTTAACTAGTAAAAACAAACTTAATTTGAATACTAATTGGGAATAAATAAATAAACGATTCAATAATCACGTATGAGAAGAAAGCATTCACCCAAAAATAAGAAACAAGGTAAGCTAAACAGAAAAAGAATGTTATAACAAAGGTGTACTAACCTAAAACTGTGGAGGAAGGAGTAGAGCGGCGGAACGACGTCAGAAGTCTGGCCAAGCTGTGGCAAAAGTCTAGTGAAGCGCCGACGATGGGGGAGGACAAGGAGGAGGGAGAGAGGGAATTGGGGGAGGCAGAGAGATGTAAGTGAAAAGTGGTCTCTAATTCAACAGGGTTTAGTTTTTTTTTAAAAAAAAAAATTTAACTATTGAAAAATATAGAAAATATTATCTCTTAAAAAAAGAACTAATATAATTTTAATGAGGTGGTTGTCTACATTAGCTGCCTTGTAAGATGGTATTAAAATGTGGTAAGCATATCATTGTATATGCATGCGTACATCTTGTGTTTGAGCGTGAGACTCGAGCCCATCCTACTGCTCTTTAATTCAAACCAAATGCAGTTGATAGCGATTGTTGTGTTGTCTTCATGGTAGGGTATGCACGTATGACAATATGCAATGTAGCACTCTTAATTTTTCTCTTTACCATGCTAACGGGGTCTAATTCAGTGAAAAAAAAAATATAAACTTGCAAATCAAGAGTCTCATATTTGAATCTTCATAAAATCTTGACAATGTACATGTGAGAAACTTAATTCCCCTCTGATTTAAACTAATGTTGTGGCAATATGTTTTTACCATTGATGGAAATGGGAGTGGACCCCATTATTGCCATCCATCGTAGCTAGTGCTGACGGCGTTCATCACAGGGAACTATATGCATACGTCAGCCAATATGTAAGCACACTTGGCTTCGCACAATTGAATTGCACGGATCTTTATCCACCTGGTAGATTTAGATTATATATGGAACCAGAAGCAAAGCAAGGCAAAGACGGATGAGATATTGACAAAAACTTTTGAAAAAGGATTCACATGATAGGATAGCAATACATAATCAAGTTGTATTAAACAATATTTTCTTATTTGAAAATCATTCATTGTTTATGCTTTTTTTACCTTGTAGTACCGAATGCGTTTTCAATCTTCATATTCTGAAATTGCTTTCCAATTAAATTACCATACACCTTTTTAGATCTTGAAAATACAAATTTATTTTCTTATTTTTATTTTCTAAAACATTGTACATAAAGTTTTTTAAAAAAGGTTACCAAACAAGCCCTTCAAATTTATTTTTTTGGTTGAAATTATGGGTTCAACACCCGAACAAAAAACCAAAAATTAATGGTAAATTTTGGTTTACAATCCCTATATTTTTACTGAAACCTTTTGAGTTTGAAAATTATTGTGATTGGAGGACATGAATGTTATCATTTATATACAAATTAGATTATCATGAAGGTGGGAGAGTAGCGGGTTTAGATTACCGTTAAAATGACCTCCAGCGAAATTTTAATATAGGGTAGTTTAGAGATATTTAGTTCATCCACCAAGTCTAAGTGTTGTTGGACTAGTAGATGAGCATCCAATTCAGCTCTAGCCTTTCTTAGCACGTATGGAGAAGATGACACATGGCCCATTCCAATGTCACGTATGGATTAGATGCCAATAAGATAACCTGATAATGGCTCCACCTTCGCAAAATCGTCACGTGCGTTTTGTGAAAGTTTGAGTGGCAAGTGTTTGACTTTGTTCTTTCTGACGTTCAAGGTTGTATTTCATTCTCCAAAAGGAGGTATTTATAATACAATGATGTAACCCTAGTAGGGTCAAACTAGGAAAGCAAATGATCGATCATGTTAATTCCATTTTTACCCTTTGTTCTTGCTCATCAATCAGACCTTGTAAAGCCTCCTTCGTAATCTGCTGGGTTCGCTGCTCTGCTATGAGCAAAAACCTCCTTCATAATCTGCCTGAAGTGCCCGGCCTCTTCCTTGTCCACCGACATGTCGTCGCCATTACCGTAGTATCTCTTCCCTGCAACCATTGTCATTATGATGTTAAAGGTCAGCTCAGAGAACATAGACTTCCAACTCCACCTTTGCAGAACCATGAATCGAGTTTTGTGAAAGTTTGCGTATTAAGTGTTTGACTTAGTCTTTTCGCGCGTCTACGCATGCGTTGAGTCGAGCGGAGGGGAAGATCTCAATGGTGCCGATGCGCCGGAAGGTTGCGCCAGCGATCGCCGTGTGGGCAGGTTGCGACGGTGGTGTTGTTGTAGCCTAAGTGCTTGCGTAGGAGCAATGGAGGACGGTTTGCCGAAACAATGTCGTTTTTGGTGAAACACTCTTGGACAGCACAGCCGACGAGGATGAAACTATGACCACGCGCTGGGAGCAGAACCAGAGAGAGAAAATGGGGCCGTGTTTTTGGGAGAGGCCGTGGAAGGTTTGGTGGACTGGGTTTTACGAGATGGAGATGGCCGAGGACTGGAAGAGAAAGCGGGCTTGGCAGGAGGTTGGTGTAACGTAGTCGTTTTGTTTGAAGAAAAAACTTGAAAGTAAAGATGACGATGAAGATAAGAGAGAGGGACGTTGTGTAGAAGAAGATGCATTGTTCCATGGTTTGTTTTGGTTATTGGTTGCTGTTTGTTGATATATAAGTTTGATTTTGGGTGGTGGATTTTTGGTATTTATAAAGGAGAGGGACGTGAGGGAGAGTTGCCTAGCTATACTTGTTTTAAGTAACTGGATCAGATTTGTATGGCTACGAGGGAGATGTGAATAATACAACGAGCAGTACACCATACAAAGTTGTGATTTTGTATTCACTTATATACAGAGTTGATGATCCTAACTAGAGTAAGTAGATATGTGATTGAATACAAACTAAATTAGAGTTAATATACAAAGTCAACATAAAGATAAATTAGGAAGGGAAGCTTTTGATTGATTCTGAGGAGTTGACGATAGAGCTACTGGAAGAGCCTTATTTGGTATCCACATATGACAATATGCAGAGTGCAAATTGCTATGGAAACTGACGTCTAGCCAAATGGAAAATAACATTTATTTGCACCTTAGTTCATAGTGTGTATGTGAGAAACCCTTTCTCCCTTATAGTTTAGATTAATTAAAACAAATTCCAATTTTGACTGCAAATTATGTTGTCATATTAGAGTATACCTCAAATTAATAGAGGAGATCAATCACTTGATTCCAGTCCAAGCCCAGTGGACTGGTGCTCCAGCGGATCCAATAACGAGGACCGAAGAAGGGAGATTTATTTTCAGAGCCCACCCAAAAAAAAACCAAAAACCCATACCCTTGCCAGGTGGCATAATCTCGGTGGCTGGTCGACAGACCTAACAGACCCAACAGACCCAAGAGTAGAAGAATATGTTAAAGGTTTTACATTATCCACGCTTTAAAACAAAAATAAAATGAAAATGGAAATGGAAAAAAAGAGTGCAAAAAGAAAAAATTGATGCTCCTCCGCTGCCCTTCCATCTTTGTGAGACTTCGGTTTCCAGACCAGAGGCCCTCAAAACTCTCTGCAAAACCAAAAATCCCCCACTTTACCCGTTTCCCATTTCAACTCCTCTCTCTCTCTCTCTCTCTCTCGCTCTCTGATTGAAGCTGGGCCATATCATAGCCATTGAAGCCGGCGACTTTTTGGGACGATGACCTCCATCACCTCCGTCGAGTTGAATTTCCTCGTCTTTCGTTACCTTCAGGAATCAGGTAGGCAATACTTTGCAACCCCTCAATTTTTCATAAATTTCGCTTTTTGTTTTCTTTTCCCGTTTTAAATTAGATTGTCATTCAAGGTTTTTTTTTGAGGATTTATTAATCAATTTCTGTTACATAGTTGCCTTTGTAACTTAATTAGGGTTTAAAAAAAACTATAATTTTGGGAATAACTTTTCGAATTGGCTTCTCGGTTTCGTGTTACATAGTTGCTTTTGTAACTTAATTAGGGTTTTAAAAAAACTATAATTTTGGGAATAACTTTTCGAATTGGCTTCTCGGTTTCGGGAGCTGAGGGGGCATGATCTTACGGATCCGAAAACGATAGTGGGTTTGATTTCATTGTGTAGTTCTCCGCTGGAATGGTCGAAAGATCATTTATTTTTAATTTTTCTTCATAAAACTTTGTTGCTCTATGGTTTAGCACTAGAATACGTGGTTGAATAATTACTGTTGTTTACAAAGTTTCTTCTTTCATCACTTTTTCAGGCTTCACACACTCAGCTTTTGCTTTAGGATATGAGGCCGGTATCAACAAAAGCACTATAGATGGCAATTTGGTTCCACCTGGTGCCCTCATTACATTTGTACAAAAAGGACTTCAGTACTTGGAGATGGAAGCTAACTTGAGTAATGTTAGTATTCTTAGTTCTTTTGCTATAAATTATTAAATAACTGGTCATTTCTATTCAGTAACTTGTGTATGATACACAGCTTAGAATATATGTTAACCAACTTTTGCTTTAAGCTTGCCAGAGTGACGCAGATTTGGACGAGGATTTCTCATTGATAAACCCTTTAGATCTTATCACGAAGGATTTATATCAACTTAGGCAAATGATTAAAGAGAAAAGGAAGAATTTACAGAAGGATAGAGACAAAGATAAAGAGCGCGAGTCTTATCAAAAGAAAGATAAGGAGCTTGAAAAAGATCATGAAGGAGAACGTGCACGAGTAAAAGAGAAGGAAAGGCAAGAAAGGGAGAAGGAATTTGAAAAGGACAGAGAAAGGGTAGAAAAGAATAAGGAGCAAGAAAAGCAGCATGAGGACCACAATGACAGAGATATGGTTACTGATCAGGAAGAGAAGATTAATGTCAAACATGAAGAAAATGGAGCTTCTGGAGGTAAATTCAATTTTTACTGAAAACAATTTCCTCTTTTCTTTTTAGTTTTTTATTCTTTTATTTATTAGCCTGAATACAATTATTGAGGCAACAAATGCCCATAGTTTGTTAGCAGCCACGAATCTGTTCAATTTTATGTCCTTTCTTTTGTGATTGGCAAAAACTAAGAGCTAAGATGTAGTTCCTTACTACTTGAGCAAGCCATGGTGCTTGGAATTTTTTTTTATGTTGAAAGATCCTGGGATAAATCATAACTTAGCTGATGAACTACCCTTTTTTTATTAAATTCTTTTTTAATGTTTCCTGAACAGGAAAAAAAGAGTAAAAGAAGAACACTCTGCATTAACTTCCTGTTTAGACTTTTGAGAATGGAGGAATTTGAATAGTACATGTTGTAGGAAGTAAGAAATGCACTTAGAAGCTTAAGTAACGATCTGCCCAGGTAAGAGTTGCTTATGCAATGTGGTGTCTTGCACATTTCTTGGTATTTGAGTAACTAGAAATGCAAGGAATTTTAAACTAGCGTCATTGCATAATAAGTTAGGTATGATGAGTTAGAGTTCCTTGCATACATGTAAAAAGACAGAGCATGCTATCAAACTCCTCACTTAGTACAGTTGAAAAATTGTGGTTCTACCTGAGTTATTGTTATGTCTCTCACACTCTGCCCTTTTTTTCTCCGTCTATTTCCTAAAGGCACATTATGGTAATAATCATTTTGTTTGTTGGAGCAGAACCAATGGATATTCCTACAACATATGTTGAAATCCCTAGTTCTGATGTGACAATTCTAGAAGGCCATACTTCTGAGGTTTGAGCATGTCTCCTATTTTCTTGCAGTACCCACCTTATTCCTGGCCTTTTCCCCTTTCTGTTTATTATGTTTCGTCATACATGTCTCTCTGTGACATTGGTTCTCTTTTCCTTTCTTCATTAGGTATGTGCTTGTGCTTGGAGTCCAGCAGGGTCTCTTCTTGCATCAGGGTAGGTATCTCATTGTTAGATTGCTCATATTTAGTGTATGTATATATTATCTATTCTCGTTTCTAGATTTAAGACATAAGGACTCGTGAAAAAAAAAATGTTGATAATCTATGTATTATCTCTTTACTGATTGTTTCACATGTTGATCTCTGCTGGTGAAGTTCTAACATTAAATCAGACATGTTTTTGCCTTTTATCTGCTCAATATATCTTTACTTATTGTTTTAGAGTCTGCAAAATTTGATAGTATATGTGCTTGTTGTTTAATCCTTTTTGTTAGCTTTAATTTCTGTAAAATCAACATCTGTTAAGACTGTCTGGATCTGTTGATATTGTATTATCATGTTAATCATGGGCCTGTAATGTCTACCTGAATATGGGCTGTTTCTGAATCCATGTTGTTTCCACTCCATGTAAGGATTACCATGGTATTGGTAAACTTTTTAAAGTCTTTGACCTTTTTTCCCTCCTCTTATTCTTTGCACATTTGATTAATCACTTTCTAGGTCTGGAGATTCGACAGCTCGTATTTGGACCATTGCTGAAGGAAGCTCCAGATTGTCACAAAATGGCTCCTCAAATGTGTTGGTTCTGAAGCATGTTAAGGGTAGAACAAATGAAAAGAGTAAAGATGTCACAACACTGCATTGGAATGTGAGTTCCGTTATTATGGATTTATGTTGTGATATCTTCCGTATCAAATTTCTTGTAATAGATTTGCATGCCATGTGGATGCTCATTTGTTATGGGTTCTCGCGAGTTTCACCCAGAAGGAAAAGAAACTTGTTTTCTTTCTTTCCAAAAGCATCTAATACTGCAGGAGCTTCTTGCCTAGATTTTTGTTATTCTTTTTTCTAGAATTTACTATTTTTGTGGATATGCAAATAAACCTTTCCCTTGTTCAGGGAGAGGGAACACTGCTTGCAACGGGCTCGTATGATGGGCAAGCAAGAATTTGGACTACAAATGGTAAGCAGACATTTGTTTGTCCTGTTTCATTTGATTTATGATATTTTTTAATAACCATTTTGGAAGTTTTTAACAACTTAATCTTTGCCCAGGTGAATTAAGAAGTACTTTGAGCAAACATAAAGGACCTATATTCTCTCTAAAGTGGAACAAAAAGGGGGATTATCTTCTTACGGGAAGCTGCGATAAAACTGCAATTGTGTGGGATGTGAAGGCAGAAGAATCGAAACAGCAGTTTGAATTCCATTCAGGTGAATATTATTTTAATGTATTGTAGCAGACCTTGTTTACTTGTTTACCTCCTGGTAAATAGTGGATGTGTTGGGATTTTGATGGCTATTTTTTTTGTCATTTAGGTCCAACACTTGATGTTGACTGGCGCAACAATAGTTCATTTGCAATGAGCTCAACAGACAATATGATATATGTTTGCAAAATTGGGGAAACCCGCCCTATTAAAACTTTTACAGGCCATCAGGTATGTTCAAGCATTTAGCTTCTGTAGATCAATCCTGAGTGTAATTATCATTTTTACATTTTGTTCTTCTTATTATAAAATTTTGCATATATATATATATACAAGCCCCCTTTTATTGAGGGATCCCTCAAATAAATTTATTTGAGAGACACCCTTTACTTTAGGGTCCCCTACAAAAAAAAAATTCAACGATCCAAACCATCTATTTTTCACATCTTCATTCAGAGATCATCCTTGCAAAAAATGATTCAAATTGAAAATCATTAAGGCATCTAATTGAGACCAACAAAATCAATGAACACGGTGCTTCAAAAAAGTACTAAAATTTCAATAATTTAATTGAGTGGTCAATTGATATCAGATTCAAGTGTTTTTTGTAAAGATGATCTTTAAATGAATATCTACAAAATAGATAGAATGAGTTCACTCGATTGTTTTCTGTGAAGGTACTTGATACTATCATTTTTCGTAGCTAATCAATGAATTTTGGTTGTTTCAGGGTGAAGTTAATTGCGTTAAATGGGATCCAACCGGTTCATTGTTGGCTTCATGTTCTGATGATATCAGTGCAAAGGTTATGTGTGTTACGTTTTACATTTGTAGTCAAATATTTACATGTCTATAAGATGGTTGTTTTCATATAATTTTTTTAAGTCTATATTTTATAAGTAAAGATGGCTACCTAAATTAGAAACAGACCACGGTGGTACACAAGATGGGTATGGCAACAGTAACGTTGTATGCCACTTACTCCAGAACATGGGAACAATGGGAACAATGGGATTGGCTCAAATAAATTTTCATTATAGTGCTTGATTAGAAGTTTGAGTCTGATAATTCAAATATATATATATATATACAGTCCCCTTCTATTGAGGGACACCCTTTAGGGTCCTCTACGATTTTTTTTTTCAACGATCCAAACCATCTATGTTTTAAGTCTACATTCATAGATCATCCTTCCCAAAAATTAGACAAATCGGAAACCGTTTCGACATCCAATTATGTCCTATAAAATCAATGAACACGGTGCTTCAAGAAAGTACTAAAATTTCAGTAACTCAATTAGGTGGTCAAATGATATCTGATTCAAGTGATTTTTTGTAGAGATGATCTTTGAATGATTATCTAAAAAATAGACGGTTTGGATTAGTGAAATACAATGTGGAGTGGGCCCTACAAGGGTGTCTCTCAAATAAGCTTATTTGAGTGCGTGCGTGTGTGTGTGTGTGTGTGTGTGTGTCCTGTAATTTTTTTTTTTATTCCACAAGCATCATGGTGGATGATATGGAAGGTAGTATATAAATTGTAAAAACTAGTGTTATGAAAGTCTACCACCTTTTGCACCGCTGGCAGTTCAGTAGGGTAGTAATTATTCTGGTAACTATGGTAGTCATGAACATGTTGCTGTTTAGTCATTTTCACCTTTGTATATGTTTTTGTTAGGTTCATTATTCTTTGTCATTAAGAATATTGTTTTTGCAACTCACATAAAATCATGGTATAGATATGGAGCATGAAGCAGGAAAAATATGTCCATGATTTAAGAGAGCATTCTAAGGTACTCCTCAGCTTTATGTCTTTTCTAGTTTGATTTGTGTATCATGTCTCTGGAATTTTACTTCTGGGAATCTTAAAAGCACTGGAAAAATGTATTGCAGGAGATATACACTATCAGATGGAGTCCCACTGGGCCGGGAACAAACAACGCTAACCAGCAGTTAGTTCTTGCAAGGTAAATATAGTGCTTTGTAGGTGAAGTGACATGCCGTTGGCGTTTCTATACTTGTGTGCATTGCATTCGTGATGTCTTCATTTCTTATTTCAGTTAACATTTGCAAATTTGTTCAATAAATAGCTTTCACGTGGTTTCATATTTGTTCAACCAAAGCTTAATGATGTCAATTGAAATTTTGTATAAAATCACCAAGTGATGTACCACCCCATAGTAAGACCTGGTTGATTGTTATTGCTTCTGATTCATTTTGTACTTCTAATTGCCATTAATCCTATTGTGCTGTGTGAATTTATTTTAAGCTACTGATCTTTTGTGTTCATCTTGTTGTCATTGCATCTCTGTTCTTGCACCTGTCTTTATGTAGAAATAGTTTTGTTTGATAGGAATCTTTATGTAGAAATATTGCAATATACAAACTTGGACTTTCATGCTATAAGTATACTCTGCCTCAGAAACTGCACCAAAAATGTACATGTCATGGTTCTAAGTGGTCTGTGGTTGTTCTTTCTTGTACAGTGCATCGTTTGACTCCACTGTGAAGCTATGGGATGTGGAACTAGGAAAACTTCTCTACAGCTTGAATGGACACAGGTACTGGACTTAATAGAACTATGTGGTGTTTGAAGCTAAAACCATTGCTGTAGTTCAATTTGTATTACTGTTAATCTGTCATTACATTTATATTTGTATTAATACCTTCAGTTGAATCAACAGGGATCCTGTTTATTCTGTTGCCTTCAGCCCAAATGGTGAGTTTTTGGCCAGTGGATCTCTTGATAAATCCATGCATATCTGGTCACTGAAGGAAGGCAAGATCGTGAAAACATACACAGGAAATGGTGGTATATTTGAAGTCTGCTGGAACAAGGAAGGTGACAAAATTGCTGCATGTTTTGCCAACAATACTGTCTGCGTTTTAGATTTTAGAATGTGACTCTGGAAATCCTAAATTACCTTGTATTGGAATTAGTTGGTCGTCAAAGCCCAGCCATAGATTAGTTCTTTGTATTTGATCGGGATGGGTGCCAATTAGGTGGATAGGCTTGCATTTTAACCGTAGATCAAGGCTCTACTCTCTAATGTTCATTTAGTTTGTAAGCTCTTGTCCTGATTCAATTGTCAATCAGGCTTTCATGCTTTTTCTAGGAGAGTATGTACAGGATTATTTGTAACATTTTTAGTTAGGCTTGTTAATGGAGCATGCTTTTCTCTTAGAGCATCCAAAGCTGTGTTTTCCACTCTTTTTCTGGTTTTGTTTTTGTGTTGAAATTGGAATTGAATCTTATGGTGGGTTTCCAATTTTCTGATCATGCAACCAACGTAACGGAATTACCCGAATACCTTGAATTTTTTTGGAGGAACTCAGGGCGCTTGAAGCATCTGGAAACATAAGAAACTTTTTGCTTTAGTTTACCGAAGAAATGTAGTCGTTACTTCGATATGCATGTCCAATAAATATCCTGGTGTTGCGGGGAAGCAATGGTCAAATTGAGGCATATTTTGGTTTGTTCGAAACTACAGTTAATTAGGTGTTAAGAATTGAATTTAGATTGAAGGTGAAAATTTGTTTCCAGAAGCATCTCAGAGGAACCAATATTCATAATTTACTATTCACCAGTAATCGCCACAAGAGCATGAACCATTTGCAAAGTGGTGAAACCTGTTTCTGTCCCTCATTACAATCTTCCGCCTGGTAATTTTTGAAATTAGCTTGGTCACGGCATGACAATCCGAACACACACGGAGGTTCTTTACAATTTTGATCGTAGTTCCAGGTTGAGTGCTTATTAGCCCGAAAGCAATAGCAAGCTTCTCACTATGAACTTCAAGGGATTGCTCCTTTTCTCTCTCCCCCAAATCATGTAGCACAGTATCAATTTGTGGGGTGTAACCGTGAGCCTTAAGCCACTGGTTCATCTCCTTGATCATCATGTATATTTCTTTGCTCCTCGGGCTTCTCCTATCCCCCGCAAGGAATTCATGCACCTTGTTATCCACTTCAATTGAGCTGCAACCAGGCTCCTTCTGAATCCCACTGTGTTTCATCAAGGTCCTCACCCTTGCCACCCCATCCCAGTTCCCAGCTGCGGCATAGATGTTAGAAAGAAGAATAAATGTTCCTGAATTTGCGAGGTTTTGGCCAAGGAGAAACTCTGCTATCTCCTCTCCCAAAGTAATGTTACCATAGAGTCTACAAGCCCCAAGTAAAGTTCCCCATAGGACAGGATCAGGAGCTATCTTCATGTTCTTGACAAACTCATATGCTTCTTCAAGCTGTCCAGCACGGCTGAGGAGATTTACCATGCACCCGTAATGCTCAATCTTCGGTTCAATTCCATATTCATCCTTCATTGAACTGAAAAAAGCTCGTCCCTCGCTGACCAAACCAGCATAGGCACAAGCACTCAAAACACCAATGAAGGTTATATCTGTAGGTTGGCAACTAAGTCTACACATTTCATGGAACAACTGCAATGCATCTCGGCTAAATCCGTGCATTGCGTAACCTACAATCATCGAATTCCAAGCAACAACGTCCTTCTCATCGATCATATCAAAAACCAGACGAGCATCCTCCAAACTACCACATTTACTATACATATCAATCAAAGCAGTTCCCACATGAGCATTGACTTGAATCCCATTATTTTCAATGTAAGAATGAAGCCATCGACCTGACTCAAGAGCCCCAAGCTGCCCACAAGCAGAGAGCAAAGACAGTACAGTCAGTTTGTTGGGCTTAATTTTCGCCACCAGCATTTTCCTAAACAGCAACAAAGCCTCATTTGGCATCCCATGCTGAGCATACCCATCAATCATCACATTCCAACATACCACATCTCTCTCCTCCATCCCATCAAACAGCACACGGGCCTCCTCAACCTCCCCTCTTTTTGCATAACAAGTGATCATCGCCGTCAAAGAAACCAAACTCTTTTCAGGCATTGTATCAAACAGTTGTCTTGCAGACACGACATCACCAGCTCTCGCATAAACATCAACAAGACCCGTCCTGACATACAAATCCGAATCAAACCCGAGTTTAATCGTCTGAGAATGGAGGGCTTTTCCGGGTCTAAGCGGGCAAGTTTTCATGACAGCAGAGAAGGTAAAGCAATTGGGTTCTACGCCATTGGTCAGCATTTGGGTGTAGTACATGAGGGCAAGGTCATGAAGACCGCATTGGGCATGGCTGTGGATGATGGAGGTCCAGAAGAAGACGCTGGGATTGTGGGTTCGTTGGAAAAGGGCAACTGTGTAGTCGAGACGGCCGAGAGAGGCGTAGGAGCGTTGGAGCTTGAAGTTGAGGATTGGGTGGTGGTGGAGACCGTGGCGGAGGAGAAGGGCGTGGGTTTGCAGAAGGTGGTTGATGGATTTTGACTTGTCGACGAGGAATGTGAGTCTGTCAATTGATGGCGGGTGTTGGCGGTGAGTGGGTGTGGTGGTGACCAGAGGTGTGGGTGAGGAGCTCATCGTTTTTGCGAACGGTTTCTCGGATATTTGGCGCCATCAATTATTTATCGTTTTTTTTCTTTTTATTTTCTCTGTGTTATTTATCAAATATTTGGTGCCATCAAAGAATTTTATATTGACAGTGGAAATGTTGAGCGAAGATTGGAATGTTTGCTTTTAAAAATACATGAAATTTACCGAGTCTTTAAGACATTTGCAGAACAAGTATGTATTATTTTTAAATACGTACGTACGTGTATAATACATTATTAAAGATTAAAATGCTAAAATCTTTATACGGGTAATGACTCTGGAAAAGTAAAAAAATCATAAGGGGACAATAGAGACTCGAGTAATGGCCTAATAGCAATGGATAATGCTCTAAACAACTTTTATCGATAAACAAAAATTGGGGAAAAAAAGGATCCCACTATATATACAAAGTGTGTAGCCGCGCACCTCTTGGGCTCTGGAGAAATTTAATTATCTTTAACATATTTAAATATTCACTAAAGAAATAATAATTAAAACATAATTACTAATTAAAGTGATTCAAAAAGGCTAAGATATTACTTAATGAAGTTGGCCAAAAAAACAAAAGTAAAGAAACTAATTTTATATTTTCAAAATTTTAAATAAATAAAAACCTCTCTTGACGAAAGTTCGTCGGCACAGTTCTATGCCGGCGACATTCTTCGATTTTAATAACTTTTAAAAAAAATAATACTGTCGTGCAACTATACAATATATTAGAAAAATGACTCGCCCAGCGCCTAGGCGCCACTTGTCAAAAATGTAAAGCCCAACAGCTGTACTATTTTTATAAAATAAAATTAGGAAAAAATCGGGTACAACCGAGCGGCTATACTATTTATAAAAAATAAATTTAAAAAACCATGTATAGCTGCCCAGCTATACTATATATATTTAAAAAAGGACCCGACCTAGGCGCTACGAGTCAAAAAAAGTAAAGCCAAGCAGCAGTAATATTTTTATTAAAAAATTTAAAAATCCAGTATACTGCACTGCTGTACTATTTTTTGAAAGAAAAATTATTAAAACCGAGTATAGCCGCGCGGCAATACGATTTATAGATATTAATTTGCTAGTCTCAAAATCACCATCTTGCATTTTTGTTACAACAAGTAAGAAATAATCTTAACCTTTCACATTCATTCATAGTTAGTAAAATATGGAATGGGAAAAAATATGAATAAAATACGTACGGCTATACTATTCATCATATATTAAAAAAAAGGACCCGCCCAGCATCTAGGCTCCACATGTCAAAACAGTAAAGTCCAACAGCTGTACTATTTTTATAAAAAAAAAAAAGGAAAATAGTATAGCCGCTCGGCGATAATTATTTTTACACGTGGGCGCCTAATCGCAAGGATGATCTTATATATATAAATAGTATAGCTGCCAGGCTATACTCAATTTTGTGGATGTACAATCAGAAAGAGTTTTACAATCTATTATTAGTGGTTTCTTTTATTTGAGTTTTACCCTTATGCTATTTTTTGGTTAGTTCATATTCTCTGTGTTGTATATATGATCATATTTAAACAATGGCTTATGGACTCTAAACAAATGTAGAGATATTTAGTCATATACCCAGTCTTAGTACTAAAACTTTATAATAAACGCTACACAATTTAATTTCTATAAACAAACCCAAAAAAACAACCTAAAAAATGATAGTTGGTCCTATAGAATTTAATTTTGATTATTAAATTACTTTGATGCCCTATTGGATGTTTTGGGCTTTTTTTATGAGGTTTTGGGGTTGGGTTTGTTTTAAGAAATCAATGGTAGTTTTGTAATTTAAAAGAAGTTAAATGCCTTTTTGTTATGTTGTAAATGGACTTTGGGTGTGTTTTTAAAGTTCATTTCATATAGGGGTTTTTTTTAAAAATTTGGACTCTTATATTGGGTATAAAATAATGAATCTCCCAAAAATGTATCTATAAATTGAAGACTCTTGGTAGAAGTCTTTTACAATTAATTCATTGTGATTTTTATTTATCTTTGTTTCACTATTATGTTAGTGTCTAGGTAATTCTTACTCTATGTTGTACCTATATGTTCAAGAGGCGACTTAAGTAAAATTACTGGACTAATTGAAGGTGGAGCGGCTCAGAAAAATTCTTAGGCATATTTGGCCTACTCATTTACCTGTTCTCTTGGAGCATGAAAATACTGATGTGGCAAGACAAATAAGGTTTCGCTACTCTTTTCCAATACCCCTTTGAGATGCTCAGTTTTTTAAACAAAAAATATTTCAAAATAGTATAGCCGCGCGGCTATACCTATTTTGACACATAGCCACCCATACATAGTATAGCCGACCGGCTATACCCAGTTTTTTATTTTAATTTAAAAACTAGACCCGCCCAGAGCCGAGGTGCCATGTTTCAAAACGGTAAAGCCGAGCGGCTATACTATTTATAAACAAAAAATATAAAAAAAGGGGTATCGCCGCGCAACTATATATATATATATATATATAGTTTAAAATAGGACCCGCCCAGCGCCTAGGCGCCACTTGTCAAAAAAGTAAAGCCAATCGGCTGTACTATTTTTATATAAAAAAATTAGGAAAAAACCAAGTATAGCCGGTTGGCTATACTATTTCTTTTTATATATCTCTCCTGACGAAAGTTCGTCGGTACAGTTCTATGCCGGCGACATTCTTCAGTTTTAATAACTTTTTAAAAAAAAAATACCGTCGTGCAACTATACAATATATTAGAAAAATGACTCGCCCAG